GAACAGATTTCTGGAGACTTAAACCATTTGGACCTAGAGGGGTGGGAAAGGTATATATGGGTCTTTGCCTTTATCAAGGAAGTTTTGCCTTAATTAAAGCTGTGAGGAACTAAAAATATAGGCTTTCTAAGATACACACTTAAGACATTGTGAAAGGCTTTAATGAATATACTTTTTAAATGTATACGTGTTTGGAATTTGCTATGATGCAGAATAAAGGGTTCTGTTAGAAAAGCAGAGAGGATAGAACAGAAGGTTAAAGGGTATTTTGGAAACAAACAGCTGGACCAGCTTATTTAAACAGAATCAAGGATTGGGAGCTGACCTCCATTTGACTTCTAGGGGGAGGAGCGAGAATGTCATTTTATTACTTTGGCTAGAAGGAAAATGTTCTTTCTTCTGAAAGCACCCTAACATTTGGGCTGTTTTTCAGAATAGTTATTAAACACAAAATACATAGGGGAAAGTCAACTGTTAAGCCTTTGTGGAAAATGTTATTTAAAGAACCAAAGGCCATGGCATGTATGTTTCAGCTTGTATCTTGTCCAGGATCACAGAGAGGAAATGTTAAATTTTAAAAAAGGTATTAAAATGACATTTTGTTACTTGAAGTCTTCAACCTGAAATTTCCCCCTCCCCTCACTACCCCAGGGGACAACCTTGTTGCTGATAGCTTTAACATACAGTACAATAAAATAAATCTTCATTTAAAAAAAAAGAGCTGAGAAGCATTTATTTTAAGTCTTCTAAATTTTCTTAAGACAGCATTTTAGTCTGTGCTGGCTCCATAAATGCTTCTCATTGAGAACAGATAAATATTCATAGTTTTGGATGAGTATCCAAAACTTTTTATTTAATTATTTGTACTATCATTAGTTTTACTGTTACCATTCTATTTTTCATAAATGTTGTAACGTATAAGCTTATAGTTCCCTCTGTATATTACTTCACTATTATCACAGAACACAGATGATAGGATCTTTTCTTCTTGAAAAGGTGATCTTGTAGATTGCTTCCAATAGAAGATTGCATGGAGAACAAACTTAAATCTATTTATGATACAGTATTTCCCACTTGTATATTTTTAGGAGAATTACTGTATTCCAAATGGATTCTAAACAATATTGGCTTGTAGATGTTGTTGGTCTGGAGGCAAAATACTTTCAGGTGACCTTAAACTGATAAACAGTACCCCATGAGCCTGAGGCTCACGAGCATGTGCAATTTATCTCCAGCCAGAGATCTTATTGATCTAGGATTCCTTAAAAACAGAGTCCCAACTGCCACAAATGGGAAGCCTTTCTCAGCAGAGAAAACCCAGCCTTCTCTGATAATGCAAGGTATATCAAATCAGTCCCTGCTCTAATGGTGAATTTGGCTGTTAAAGCAAATAGGCATACCACCCTATCAGTATACCTAACCTTTACATAAATGTGGGAGTCTATCTAATCTCCTGCTTTGTAGCCACAATTATTGTGACAGTTTTCTTTTGTACTACACACACACACACACACACACACACACACACACACACACACACACA